CAGATAACTGTGTCAGAGAATTTTTATTTCCTTTAATGAAGAAGATGTGTAGTAGATGTAGGTATAGACTATCCTACCCAAACATGGTCGACTCGAACCAGTAGTCTCACATTCTCTGAAAAAGTTAAATCAGATTTATTGAATGGATGTGTCAGAGATCATTCAAATAACCATGTGACACTTGAATTACTACACATGGTTGTTAAATTCTGTATTCGATAAAGACAAGATACAAGATACCTTTGATGATGTCACCATTGTGGTGATATTCTCTTTGATACCTTATCACTGCATGTGATTCAGTGTAGCTGGCCTGTGCAGGCCGGTACAGCATTAGACTGAGCACATATTTACTGTAATAGGGATGAGCACTTCTGATATGTATCAAAGTTCGTACTAGTTATCTTCTGTAATCAGTGAAGTCGACGTACCTGATGATACCTGTTAGCCTTGTTATCTGACCAGTAGATGGCACTGCAGCTTGTGATGGTAGATATCAAGATTTAGCCCTTTAGTATCAAGACTGGTCAACAATATATTTAGGACAAGGAAAGTTGGATTATTATAATATAGTGGTGAAATACTTCACTTACCATTGTATGATTGATAAGTTCTCTGTGTATCAAAGTTGAACTCTTGTCTCTGTGTATATACTAATTTCTTCTCAGTGATATCACATAGCAGATTTTTCTTTGTTGTGACATAACTACTGTATTCATTTAAGGTAAGGGTTCAATCATATTGCTTATCTATAAACAAGCAACACACCTATCCCATAATCTTGTAGCAAGGTGTCACAGGCCCTGTACCTATACTGTATGTGTTCCAGCCCCTAATCCTGTAACAAGGTGTCCCAGGCCCTGTACCTATGGTGTATGTGTTCCAGCCCCTAATCTTGTATCAAGGTGTCCCAGGCCCTGTACCTATGGTGTATGTGTTCCAGCTCCTAATTTTGTAGCAAGGTGTCCCAGGCCCTGTATCTATACTGTATGTGTTCCAGCCCCTAATCTTGTATCAAGGTGTTCCAGGCCCTGTTACTATACTGTACCCATCCAAGCCCTAATCTTGCAGTAAAGTAACCTAGCCCTACAGTAAAGCTGGCATACATAAAAATTATGTTACAGTGATAGTAGCATCTTAAAGATATTCTATAGTAAATAAGTATCAAACACAAATCAAATACCTTGTAATTTGTGACTTTTGCTATGTAATTTGGGTATGATCACAGCCTGGAGGCACTTCCTATGTAATATAGTAGACTAATAGGTTTCTGTATGATCAGAAAGAGGAAGTATCTACAAGGAAAGCGAACATTGTTTCCTCTATAACCAATTACTGGTATGAATATTTCAGGACCAGACATGCCAAGTCCTTGCTGTAGATTGGTTTAACAAGGAAAAATAGATCGGCCATATATCACTGTGTTACTGTTCTCATTAGTGTGTGTTTGTGGTTAATCTGTAGACAAGTTCATTCTGATAGCTGACCTTATAAGGATTCCATTGAAAGAATCGTACATTTTTATGATGAGGGACCCATGAAAGTGGTCACATTATTGTCATACGTATTCCCATCAAGTCCAGTCTATTGAATGCTGAAATACAACACGTCCCAAGCCATTGTCAAAGAAAACATGGAACACAACATGACCCAAGACAGTGTCATAGTAAACATTGAATACAACATGACCCAAGTCAGTGTCAAAGTAAACATTGGATACAACATGACCCAAGTCAGTGTCATAGTAAACATTGGATACAACACGTCCCAAGCCAGTGTCATAGTAAACATTGACTACAACATGACCCAAGTCAGTGTCATAGTAAACATTGGATACAACACGTCCCAAGTCAGTGTCATAGTAAACATTGAATACAACACGACCCAAGTCAGTGTCAAAGTAAACATTGGATACAACATGACCCAAGTCAGTGTCACAGTAAACATTGGATACAACACGTCTCAAGTCAGTGTCATAGTAAACATTGGATACAACACGACCCAAGCCAGTGTCATAGTAAACATTGGATACAACACGTCCCAAGTCAGTGTCATAGTAAACATTAAATACAACACGTCCCAAGTCAGTGTCATAGTAAACATTGACTACAACATGACCCAAGTCAGTGTCATAGTTAACATTAAATACAACACGTCCCAAGTCAGTGTCATAGTAAACATTAAATACAACACGTTCCAAGTCAGTGTCATAGTTAACATTAAATACAACACGTCCCAAGTCAGTGTCATAGTAAACATTGGATACAACATGACCCAAGTCAGTGTCATAGTAAACATTGGATACAACATGTCCCAAGCCAGTGTCATAGTAAACATTGACTACAACATGACCCAAGTCAGTGTCATAGTAAACATTGGATACAACACGTCCCAAGTCAGTGTCATAGTAAACATTGAATACAACACGACCCAAGTCAGTGTCAAAGTAAACATTGGATACAACATGACCCAAGTCAGTGTCACAGTAAACATTGGATACAACATGTCTCAAGTCAGTGTCATAGTAAACATTGGATACAACACGACCCAAGCCAGTGTCATAGTAAACATTGGATACAACACGTCCCAAGTCAGTGTCATAGTAAACATTAAATACAATACGTCCCAAGTCAGTGTCATAGTAAACATTGACTACAACATGACGCAAGTCAGTGTCATAGTTAACATTAAATACAACACGTCCCAAGTCAGTGTCATAGTAAACATTAAATACAACACGTTCCAAGTCAGTGTCATAGTAAACATTAAATACAACACGTCCCAAGTCAGTGTCATAGTAAACATTGGATACAACACGTCCCAAGTCAGTGTCATAGTAAACATTAAATACAACACGTTCCAAGTCAGTGTCATAGTAAGCATTGAATACAACACATCTCAAGTCAGTGTCATAGTTAACATTAAATACAACACGCCCCAAGTCAGTGTCATAGTAAACATTGTATACAACACGTCTCAAGTCAGTGTCATAGTTAACATTAAATACAACACATCCCAAGTCAGTGTCATAGTAAACATTGACTACAACATGACCCAAGTCAGTGTCATAGTAAACATTAAATACAACATGTCCCAAGTCAGTGTCATAGTAAACATTGAATACAACACGTCTCAAGTCAGTGTCATAGTTAACATTAAATACAACACGTCCCAAGTCAGTGTCATAGTAAACATTGACTACAACATGACCCAAGTCAGTGTCATAGTAAACATTAAATACAACATATCCCAAGTCAGTGTCATAGTAAACATTTGATACTACATGACCCAAGTCAGTGTCATAGCAAACATCGAATACAACACGACCAAAGTCAGTGATACAACACGACCCAGGCCATTGTTATAGCAAACATTGGATACAACATGACCAAAGTCAGTGATACAACACGACCCAAGTCAGTGTCATAGTTAACATTGCCTAGTAAACATATGGTAGAGCTTAACTTAAGGTCATGGTATACATTAGGGACAACATCGCTAAAGGTCAAATTCATGATTGAACATCAAGGTAATGGTATACATAAGTACAACATGGTTGAACATCAAGGTCAAAGATAGTTAAATGTCAAGGTCATGGTATACATAAGTACAAATAGGTTGAATGTCAAGGTCATGGTATACATAAGTAGAACATGGTTGAACATCAAGGTCATGGTATACATAAGTACAACATGGTTGAACATCAAGGTCATGGTATACATAAGAACAACATGGTTGAATATCAAGGTCATGGTATACATAAGTACAACATGGTTGAACATCAAGGTCAAAGATAGTTAAATGTCAAGGTCATGGTATACATAAGTACAACATGGTTGAATGTCAAGGTCATGGTATACATAAGTACAACATGGTTGAATGTCAAGGTCATGGTATACATAAGTACAACATGGTTGAACACCAAGGTTATGGTATACATAAGTACAACATGGATGAACATCAAGGTCATGGTATACATAAGTACAACATGGTTGAACTTCAAGGTCAAAGATAGTTAAATGTCAAGGTCATGGTATACATAAGTACAACATGGTTGAACTTCAACGTCATGGTATACATAAGTACAACATAATTGGATGTCAAGTCACGGTATATGTATGGTTGAACATTTACTTTTGCCAATGACTGTATTTACAAAATAAAACATTATCAAAGATCAAAATGGTATTGTATAAAGGGTAGCACCTAGAAGGTGACTGGAATGTGTGTGTTATATACAAAATACAAAAATACAGTTTTCCAGAAAAAAAAGTTGTGTTACATAATGAATTAGTATCTTATTTAATGAAAATAATGAGGTTGTGACCATTTACATTAGTGTATTGTTGTGTAATAACAAGTGTTTGAATTTGTTAACAAGATTAGTTATTTGTTAAATAAAGGCCTCAGTTGTTAAAAAAGTGATACATCATCCTGACAGTCAACTTTATTTAACATACATATATATGAGGGCTATCCTGACCTGCAGTACATGATTCAGGGTCAGAGACATAGATATTGACATATGTCATGTGATTGGTGATGTCCTTGATTACTATTTCCTTTATTAGAGAATGATAACCTACTTGAATGTGTGGGGATGTTTGCCTTGTAGCCAGAAGGTGACAAAAGTATGGTATACAATGCTGAATTTACAACAATGTTATCATTAGTGAATGTAAATGATAAAGCACATTATCCAGTCTATCATTTGCATTTTATTTATATAGTATACATTGCTGTGAAATTCTCAAGGTTCCTATAGGATTCATCAGTTTTATACAAATCCTTTTGAGAAGAAGTGTTAATCTTAACCACAAACAGCATTCGTAAGCTACAAAATTCAATAAAGTTAACCAAAGCTCTCTACAAATTTCAGTTGCCGATTGTGTTTAAGATAAACACGGTTTCAAATAAACTCAACACAGTGTTATAAAAAATTACCATAGTTACTGTTCCATATCTATGTTAAAGATGACTGCTTGCATTTGTTGTTACAGTTTGTTGGACTGGGACTATTTGTCTTGGGAGTATTTACAGAATTGGAACGGCAGAACCATCGACACCTCAACAATTCACTCTCTCTCCCTGTAGCCCTTGTCATGTTTGTTGGACTCTTTGTTGCCATCAATGCAGTTGGTGGTATCTATGGCACAGTGAAAGAGAATTCTCTCCTCCTGAAACTTGTGAGTATATCTGAGGGAATGTAGCAAGAAGTACCCTGTAACGAGCCCACATGATCCCTCCTCAGACTTACAGCTCTGTGGTGGCCTAAATACCCTGTGTTGAGCCCACATGATCCCTCCTCAGAATAACAGCTCTGTGTAGGCCTAAATACCCTGTGATGAACCCACATGATCCCTCTTCAGACTAACAGCTCTGTGGTGGCCTAAATACCCTGTAACGAGCCCACATAATCCCTCCTCAGACTAACAGCTCTGTTTTGGCCTAAATACCCTGTAATGAGCCCGCACGATCCCTCCTCAGACTAACAGCTCTGTGGTGGCCTAAATACCCTGTGTTGAGCCCGCACGATCCCTGCTCAGACTAACAGCTCTGTAGTGGCCTAAATACCCTGTGATGAGCCCGCACGATCCCTCCTCAGACTAACAGCTCTGTAGTGGCCTAAATACCCTGTGATGAGCCCGCACGATCCCTCCTCAGACTAACAGCTCTGTGGTGGCCTAATTACCCTGTAATAATTCTACATGATCCCTTCTCAGACTAACAGCTCTGTGGTGACCTAAATACCCTGTGATGAGCCCGCACGATCCCTTCTCAGACTAACAGCTCTGTAGTGGCCTAAATACCCTGTGATGAGCCCACATGATCCCTCCTCAGACTAACAGCTCTGTGGTGGCCTAAATACCCTGTGATGAGCCCACATGATCCCTCCTCAGACTAACAGCTCTGTGTAGGCCTAAATACCCTGTGATGAGCCCACATGATCCCTCCTCAGACTAACAGCTCTGTGGTGGCCTAAATACCCTGTAACGAGCCCACATAATCCCTCCTCAGACTAACAGCTCTGTTTTGGCCTAAATACCCTGTAATGAGCCCGCACGATCCCTCCTCAGACTAACAGCTCTGTAGTGGCCTAAATACCCTGTGATGAGCCCACATAATCCCTCCTCAGACTAACAGCTCTGTGTAGGCCTAAATACCCTGTGATGAGCCCACATAATCCCTCCTCAGACTAACAGCTCTGTAGTGGCCTAAATACCCTGTGATGAGCCCGCACGATCCCTCCTCAGACTAACAGCTCTGTGGTGGCCTAATTACCCTGTAATAATTCTACATGATGCCTCCTTAAACTAACAGCTCTGTGGTGGCCTAATTACCCTGTAATAATTCTACATAATCCCTCCTCAGACTAACAGCTCTGTAGTGGCCTAAATACCCTGTGATGAGCCTGCACGATCCCTCTTCAGACTAACAGCTCTGTGGTGGCCTAAATACCCTGTGTTGAGCCCGCACGATCCCTGCTCAGACTAACAGCTCTGTGGTGGCCTAAATACCCTGTAATAATTTTACATGATCCCTTCTCAGACTAACAGCTCTGGGGTGGCCTAAATACCCTGTGATGAGCCCACATGATCCCTCCTCAGACTAACAGCTCTGTGGTGGCCTAAATACCCTGTGTTGAGCCCGCACGATCCCTGCTCAGACTAACAGCTCTGTTTTGGCCTAAATACCCTGTAATGAGCCCGCATGATCCCTCCTCAGACTAACAGCTCTGTAGTGGCCTAAATACCCTATACTGAGCCTTCATGATCCCTCCTCAGTCTAACAGATCTGTAGTGGCCTAAATACCCTGTAATGAGCTGGCATAATCCCTCCTCAGACCTATATTCAAGGTCTCAGGTCAAATTTGTGAAAACATTCAAACAACTTCTTCTCATGAACTAAAAAGCCTAGAGGCATGATATTTGGCTGATATGTTCCTGAAATGAAGCCAGACAAAATTGTGAAAAGAAATTACTTTGATTAATATTCAAGGTCACATGGGTCAAATTTGTGAAAACATTCAAACAACTTCTTCTCATGAACTTAACAAAGCTTAGAGACATAATATATGGCTGGTATGTTCCTAGGATGATGCCTTACAAAGTTTTTGAAAAGAAATGACCCTGACTTAAATTCAAGGTCACAGGGGTCAAATTTATCAAAACCTTTAAACTACGTGTTCTCATGAATGAAAAGACCTAGAGGCATGAGAAGCCTGGCTAAGTTTATAAAAAGAAATGACCTTGACCTATGTTTTATAATTACAGGCAAAATTTTGTGGCTATAAAACAATAAAGAAAGTTTTATAATCTATTTAAAACTTGGTTTAAGAATTTAAAACAATGCATGGCCCTTCCTGACCTACAACAGTATTCTAATTTGGTTTGTAATTTTACTTAACAAGTTATCTATCATCATTGGTTGAAATGATAACATTTATTTTTCATTTCAAACTTTATCTAAACTTACATGATTTTGTTTTTTTTTTTTCCAAGTTCCTGTCCTTCACAGTGATAGCGTTTGTCGTACAAGTAGCGATTGGAGTTCTGGCCTACATCTATAAACGCAAGGTAAATACAGTGTACCTGTCCAACAGATTTATCGTAATGAGTTAACTCTGTAAAGAGATTATGGTGGTGTTTTAATAAGGCAATGAACAGTATCAGAGATGTTCTTGTGTTGATATTTGTCACTTGCTTCATTCCATTTCTAAACTTCATCAGTAATATTATTGTTATTGAACAATTATATGTATGATTCTACGTGATTTGTGAGTGCAAGAGTTAAAAATGTCACATGGTTTTCAGTACAGTGAGTTGAGGTTTTTTAATGTAAAACCAATTTTCATGATGTAATACTTACCATAACTTTAGTATGCAAATACAGTACCTACACCCATCTTTGTATCCCAACAACAAAAGATTCAAAAGAAAAACAATCCCGCCCTCCCTACGATCCATGAGCCATCACGGCAGGAACGCAGAGTGATCTCCCTTCCTCTAATAACCTTTATGGCGTAAACCCCACAGAGGGGCAGCCAGGCAGATAAGGAAGAGGGGAGGATAGGGTGGGACTCCATAAAGTTATGGTAAGTATTACATCATGAAAATTGGTTTTACATTAAAAAACCTCAATTTCATTTCAGTAATAATTACCATAACTTTAGTATGCGAATTCGTCTTACCGTAGTGGTGACTAGAAGCCAGGCAGCCCCTTCAGCACAACCAAAGTAGTAGGGAGGGAGAACAGAGTGCTAAAGTGAAGGAAGGGACCTCTCTGTGAAAGAGCAGGTGTACCCACATGCCGCCGTACGGAAAGACATGGCCCGGGGCTAACGAGGAGGCCCAGCCACTGACTATGCCACCACCAAAGGTCCCAATGAATACAGGCCTTCTGAGTGGGAAGCTAGGGATCACAGATAAAAATCTGTTAAGGTATCCCTGCCCTGCCAGAATACTGCAGACATGACCTCCTGAAAGGAGGACTCATTGAGAGAAGGGCCCACGATGAAGCAAGGGCCCTGACCTCGTGAGACCGCGCTTTCACTCTCGCCCGAGCCAGATCATCAAAATGCTCGTAAGCATACTAAATCACCTGGCAAACCCACCTGGAAACCGACTGGGAGGAGATATCTCGTTGCCCCTGTTTAATGGGCAAAACAGACGGGATCGAGAGCCCCGCCCCCCCCTGGTTTTATCAAGATAAAACCTAAGAGCCCGACAAGGACAAAGCAACCTATCTCGCTCCTCCGAGCTAGTCACAGCCAGGATCCTGATGGGATCGTGCGAGAACCCCGGAACCTGATTCTTCGCTAAAAACAACTCTATTCATAGCAAAGCCTCTGATTAGGGCAGAAAGAGAGGAGGACTAACCGATCTCCTTCCTGCCATAACAAGCAAGAACTCTGGCAATAGCTGTATGATAGCCAGCAATAGTGCCAGGTGGCAGATAGCGGTACCTAAACAGAGAGATTAGGAATTCCGCAATCAAATGCAGAGGCTTCGAATGAATAAGCTTCCTTGCCGACACACCAATCACAGAAGATCATCCAACGTGACTGGTAGACGGCAGAAGAGGAAGCCCTGATTGATTGCTCAATGCAATCTGACACCTCTTGAGAAAAGCCTGCCTTGGCGTGGCTTCCAGAGATAGCCTCAGCGCGTGAAGGTGGAGGATCTCTGGTCAAGAGTGTGTCGTTCTGGGCCAAGGCTGGCGAAGGAGATTCGGTCTGGTGGGGAGAGCCAAGGGCTCCTCCACCAGAAACGACAAGAGCTCCTGAAACCAAGCTTGCCTCGGCCACAGAGGGGCTCTCAGAAGTAAGGAGCAGTGATGCTCCCAGAACTTCTGTAGAACCCTGCCCACCAGGTTGAAGGGAGGGAATGCATATGCATACGTCCCTTCCTATTCCAGAGAAAGGGCGTCCACAGCCCACGCCTTACGGTCTGGGACCGGGGAGACGAAGGTTAGCAGCTGGTTGTTCAGGGAAGTGGCAAACAGGTCTATAATAGGTCTGTCCCACGCCTGACAATTCCCCTTGAAAATCAAGGGACACAGCTGCCATTCCGTCAACACCGGCTGGTGGCGCCTGGAGAGTGGCCACCAACACACTCAGCCTGCCAGAAAGATGCTTGACCGCTATGGTCAACTGCATGTCCTGGCAGAGAAGATGGATGTGGATGGAAAGGGCACACAGGACATGAGACCTGGTGGCCCCTGTCTCTCCAGATACGCGACAACTGTTGTCGGTAGCCACACTTTGGACTGCAGGATACCCCTAAAGGACTGCAGAGCCAAATGAACAGTCTCATCTCGAGTACACTGATGTGCTCTGAGAGTTATTCGCCAGACCACTCCCCCATCGAGGTAAGCTCACATTCCTGTCATGAACGCGTCCATGAACAGGATCATAGAGGGGATAGGCTTGGTCAGAGGTACCCCATGGAAAACGTTCTCCTGAATGGTCCACCAGCAAGAGAACTCCCTGACCGACTGGGTAAGCGGGATCCAGGCCTCCTGGATGACGGAACCCAGTCAGACAGGAGGAACATCTGGAGAGGTCCGATGTGAATCCTCCCTAGGGGGACCACATATGCCAAGGAGTTGAGATACCCCAGAAAACTGAGGAACCAATGTACCTGGACAAGCGACCAAGTGATGAAAGTCAGAGCCAGAGCCCTGACCTTCTCAAACTTCTCCAGAGGTGGAAGGGCTAAGCCCCGAACCATGTCAAAATGGTTCCCCAGGAAGAAGAAGTCCTAATATGAAGGAACCTCTGACTTCTCTCTGGAAGGAATGAAGCCGACTCTGAGCAAGAGTTTCAGGACCAGACGAGTGTCCTTCACTAACGATTCCCACACCAAAAGAGGCATGAGGGAGTCGTCGAAATAGATGTGGACGTCTATTCTGCAGGAGTGAAGGAAACACCAGCAGCAACTTGGTGAACACCAAAGGAGCTGTCGTGAGCCCCAAGGGCATCTCTGCCTTGGCAGCATGGTCCCTACTTCCTCCTGGAGCACCCGTGCCCTTTCTGAATCCCCGGGAGGAGGAAAGAAACAAAAACGGCCAGGAGGCGAGGGACGAATCCTGAAGAAGGGGAATACCTAGACCCTCCCTGACCACCGACAAAAGCCCAAGCGTCCTCTGTAATATCCTGCCACTAGGAAAGGAAAGCAGAGAGACGTCCGCCCACAGGGAGTTCCGGATGGGGCAGATCGAGCCCCTGCCAGACCAGAGAATCGTCTGCCCACCCGGAGCCTGAGCCTGCAGGAGAAGGACATGAGCCCGGGAAAGGAGAACCACCGTCCACCCGGCCATACCCTTCGCCTTTAGCGGCCAAGAAGCAGAAATAGTCAGGAACCCTTCTTCTTGCCCCCAGGAGGTTTCTTACCCTTCCTACCCTTCCCCTTGTTGCCGTTGAAGTGAGGTTGGGACTTGGGCTGTGCAGAAAACTGAGCAGCCGAAGACTTCGCCTTCTTCTTAGGAGGCACTGACCCCTGCGAGGCACTGGCCTTCTCAGCCTGAAACCTCTTCACCAGAAGTGCTGAGGCGACCGAGTCCTCCTTCATATCCTTCTGAACCCAAGGAAGAGCTCCCCTGAACAGGGTAGAGCCCTAGAAGGGGGCATTCAACAAGCGGAAACGGTAGGGTTACTGGACTGGGCGGAATTTCAGAACTGAAAACTGCCTAGCCAACACGGCATTGACGAGCAGAGAACCTGCAAGGCTGCCGTGTCCTGTATGTCGGCCGTTCTGTCTCGGATAACCGACACTCAGGCAAATCGGATACCCTGTATAGACAAACTGTCAGGAAGTCTATGTATGACAGAACTTGGATGGAGAGGTGCAACATTCTCTCCATCCTGTGGTGCTCTTTGGGATCGAGCACCACCTGGTCCACTGATTTGCCGGGCCAGGCAGCCAGCTGTCTCAACTCCAGCTGTGCTGGTTGAGAGGCCAGCTGCCCATCATGTGTGGCATAGTCGGAAGCTGAAGCCTCCGACAATTCACCAACACCGAGCTGCAGACCGACAAACCCGAGAGCACGGGTAGAGAAGGAGTCCTTCTCTAAAACCGGAGCCCGGGCCGTGGCCAGAACCGAAGACATGATATTGCCTTCTGGCAGAGACCGATCTGAGCGAACGGAAGCCCGAGGAGCCACCAGGGAACCCAGAAGGATGGTGGATTCAGGCGCCGACGATGCTGAGGCGGTGGGCAAACCTCCGCCCTGAGAATCCGGGAGATGTTGGCCCGGAGGACCCGCATCCCAGAAAGCACATGCTGAGCCTCAGCTTCAGCAGTCTCAGGGCCATCTTCCCCTTGTGAACCCTCTTGGCCCAGGAGAAAGATGAATGACATCGTCTTCCTCTGCCGAGCCCGCACCCTCGATGTCCATCTCCTCCTCAATAGAGACCGAAGTCCCCTTGGGAGGAACAGGGGCCGCCAGAGGAGCCATCTCCGCAGAGGGGAACTCCTCTTTATGGCATTTGGACGCAGCGCGACCAACAGCTGTAGCTGTAGGCTTGGGTCGGAGACCCGAAGCCGACCCCTGGGAACAGGAGACCGACGGGTCCGCGCTGGAGGCGGAAGTCCTTAAGGTCTGGCAAACCTTTATAGGACCGGCCAACAAGGCCCCCGAAGTAGCAGAACATTGGGGGGATTCCGCACTGCTATAACATCTCCTAGAGGAGAGACCAACCCCTATGGGTTCCACGAGTGAAGACCCATGGGGTAAAAACCCAAACCCCTGAGGGAATGGGAACGGTCCAGCGGGCCGGGAGTGACCCCAGAACTGGCCAAGATGGCCTGCCTGAGTCTGGGGCTGGACATCCTGTCCAAAGGACCAGGATGAACCGCCACTCCCACCAGGTGGAAACCCAGACATGTACAGGCTAAGCCCGTAACTGCTGAGTAACTGTTGGTACCCAAAACCATCCGCAGGTTGGCCTGGGCGACCCAGGAATAAGTGCCCGCAGGCACCCCTACTCCCTGAGCCCGGGGGAAAGGGAGACCGGAAACCGGACTCCTGGCCTGAAGCCCCAAACCCTTGGAGGAAAACCCCCTGGGAAACCCTG